CACCTCGGTGACCTCCTGCTGCATGACCGCACGATCGGCTGAAGCGTTCATGCAGCATGGACAGACCTCTCCGAAACAGTCCTCCAAGGTGTCTTGCAGACGACTCAGATCCCTCGGATGAGAGGCGAGATCCTGGGATCCGGGAACATCCTGGTTAGCGTTTTCTGTCCATTTCTGGGGAGCATCAGGACAGACTTTCTCTTTCTTTATTATTTAGCCTGGAAGACCAAAAAACACATATATTTTTTTTTAACATAGGTACACCAGCCCGGCGGATGGAGTCCAGAAGGAAGTGGAGTTGGGAAATACCTAAGTCAGGTAAGGTAGGTACCGTAGTCTTGCGGTTCAAAATGTCTGCTAGATTTTTGCGGAAAAAAAAAAGTTTTCAAATCCCGCTACATACAAGTTACAACAATTGACAGTTTGACACAATCCATGAATGCAATACTGAGAATCCCTACCATCACATGTTTGAAAAGGTCAATTTTGGCAGGGTCCAGGGACAGAATGCTCCTTAGGGTTAAAGATTGGCAGGGACTGGACCATTTTCATGGACTGGGACTTGGATGACAGCCAATTGCAAACTTACCAGATCTTATCAAGGCCCCACCGGAGGCGAGTATCCGTACTGTAATGGAGAACTCAATTCTGAATGGCAAAAAAATGTGAGCCCTCTGTTGCTTTCCCGTTTCAGCTTTCAGCCCTTTGAGCTTTTCTTTTTTTTTCACATGACTTTTCTTGACTCTCGTCGGTCTGTCATCGCCTTCGTTGAGATGTTCTGACCTACATCTGTGTTCAGGCGTCGTTCTTACTGGTATCATTCGACGCCAGACTACAACTTTAATCTGACTCCAAAAAAGAACCGTCAATATAAGGGAGGCGCCTACTTTGTAAGTTCATTCTGTAGCCTATCTCACCAGTTACATCTATATCCCTACAGTCTACGACAGTATTGACTCTATTGACTGGTGGTTAATTAGTTATAACTACTAGTGTACAAGTCAGCAAAGTCACAGGGGCAACCTGATAGTATGCTCCCTTGCACGAATTGGGAAGGGACGATCAATGGAACTAAAACTTTAATTCTTTTTTCCCCTTTCGTCTTGGGCCTTTGGATGGAGACCCTCAATGATTGTTCTCCCTCCACAAACTCTGCCATCCGCCGAATCAGATTGGAGTCTATTGAGAGGTTGCTGACTCTTTTGGGGGAGATCTCTTTTGCCCCCAATCTTTCTCTTTCGGTGCCAGCACCCTAAATCCAAAATCCAAAAAAAAAAAATCCATAAAATCATTACATCCAACTCCTCCCCCTTCTCTGTCCTTTTCGGGCTTTGCGTGTTCCAGTGGCTTGTGCTCATCCTTCTTTTGTCCGTCCCAACATCCTCCTCTGGTGTGGTTTCCATTGGCCCACGGTCTGCACAGAATTAAACAGCCGAGGAAAGGGTCCGTACTGCCCTTTTTGCCATCCCGACTGAGTCTATTTCTATATAACATTTCTCCTACCTCGTATTCTCTTCCTCCCACCTCCCGTCCCCCCCGTCTTGGAATCCCTTCGATCTTGGTAGGACACCTCGTTCGTCTCCCAGTTCGTCGTCTCTTCACCATGTCGTCGACTGCTCTCCCCAAGCGCGTTGCGCTGCACCGCAACCCGGCCACCGACTCCTCAATGCCCTCGTCGGTGTCGGCCTCTCCCTTTGACAGCCCGCGTCAGTCGCCCTCGTCAACTTCGCTGTCCTCCATGGGTTCAGAGCCGGAAGTCCAGACCAAGATGCTGGACACCTATGGCAATGAATTCAAGATCCCCGACTTCACCATCAAGCAGATCCGTGATGCCATCCCAGCTCACTGCTACCACCGCTCCGCCGTCACCAGCCTCTACTATGTCTTCCGGGATATGGCCATCCTGGCGTCCGTTTTCTACCTCTTCCACAACTACGTCACCCCAGAGACCATTCCCTCAATGCCCCTCCGGGTGGCTCTCTGGACGGTCTACACCGTCATTCAGGGTCTCGTGGGTACCGGTGTCTGGGTGTTGGCCCACGAGTGTGGTCACCAGGCCTTCTCCCCCTCCAAGGTGCTCAACGACACCGTTGGTTGGATCTGCCACTCCCTGCTTTTGGTCCCTTACTTCTCCTGGAAGATCTCCCACGGCAAGCACCACAAGGCCACCGGCAATCTCGCCCGTGACATGGTCTTCGTCCCCAAGACTCGCAGCGACTATGCCACACGCATCGGCAAGACCATCTACGAGCTCAGCGAGCTGATGGAGGAGACTCCCATCGCCACTGCCACTCACATGGTCGGCCAGCAGCTGTTTGGCTGGATCCTGTATCTGCTAACCAACGTCACCGGTCACAACAACCACGAGAAGCAGCCCGAAGGCCGTGGCAAGGGCAAAAAGAACGGCTGGGGTGGGGGTGTCAACCACTTCAACCCTTCCAGCCCTCTGTACGAGGCCAAGGACGCCAAGCTCATCGTTCTCAGTGACCTGGGTCTGCTCATGACCGGTTCCATTCTCTACTATGTCGGCTCCACCTACGGATGGATGAACCTCCTTGTGTGGTACGGCATTCCCTACCTCTGGGTCAACCACTGGCTGGGTAAGTCAACTGTTATATCCTCCCAACCTTTTTCCTCCCCAACTTCATTTACTTCTCGTACGAGTCCACGAGTCACACACGAGGCTGCTGGACTCGTACTAAAGTCTCACGCCTATCAATGAAGAGCTATCCACTGACACTTGCCCCCTCTTAGTTGCCATCACCTTCCTGCAGCACACCGACCCCACTCTTCCTCACTACGAGCCTGAGGTGTGGAGCTTTGCCCGTGGCGCTGCTGCCACTATTGACCGTGACTTTGGCTTCGTCGGTCGTCACATCTTCCACGGCATCATCGAGACCCATGTGCTGCACCACTACGTCAGCTCGATCCCCTTCTACAACGCCGACGAGGCCAGCGAGGCCATCAAGAAGGTCATGGGATCCCACTACCGCACTGAGGCTCACACCGGCTGGACTGGTTTCTTCAAGGCCATGTGGACCTCTGCTCGTGCCTGCCAGTGGGTTGAGCCCACCGAGGGTGCTCGCGGCGAGAGCAAGGGCGTCTTGTTCTTCCGCAACACCAACGGTATCGGTGTTCCCCCTACCAAGATCACTGCCCAATAGATGAGACCACGATATTAGATTTCTATTTTTTGCATTTTACTTCTTCTGACTTCGGAGTTCCTCCATTTTTTTTTCTTGTTCTCAAGCCGTTGCCTCCCATCATGTGTGGATTGTGATAGGATTTTAATTCTAAAGAGTGGTCCCAACGTTTCATGTTGAGGACGTTTCCTGCTTGACCTGATGACATTGTTTAGTCCAGTGCCCTGTTCATCCTCCTCTTAAAATGTAAAGACATCGCGGGCACCGCCAGGACAACTCGTTGACACTCACACGTAGCCTCGACCCCTACCCGATCAAGCTGAGACTCATGAGGATGTTGATTCCAAGGTTCATCAGCTCACTCGCTGGGTCGATTATGAGTATGCATGACAAATCCGTTAGATAGCAACCTAACTGTCCTTGATATATCCCTAGAGTCACTCTCTACTTGGCCCTTGAGTACCTGGCACGGCTACAAGGCTCGAGGTCGGGGCACTTTTCGTTTTGCCGCGGCCGATGGACGGGTATCCCCGCGCCTCCCCCGCGCGCACATGGACCCAGGAACACCCGTGATGTGGGCCACACGAGAAGGTCAAACCCCTCGAGGAGATGCGGAGAGTCTCCAATCTCAGACTGTTCGGTTTCATTTCAGTCGAGTCCAGCTGCCTGCTTCTGTCCTGTCGGTCTTACATCGGTCTTTGACCCGTTCAGTGTACCTATTGACCAGTTCCAACTGATCGCGCTCGACTCCTCCTCTCTTCCCATTGGAAATTGTTGACATTGATATTGGGAATCGATAATTGTCCAAATGCCAACATGACAACCGACGACCCAACCGTCTTCAATTCCATCCCCTGGGTCTCAGCCCTCCTACACGACAAATCCTTCGTGACATACACCATTCCCTCTCGAACCGTCAAACCCTCCACAGAGGATAACCTCTTCTCCAAGACCCTCAACACATCAACCACCTTTTCCGCATGTCTCAGCCAGTATCGACGGCCCTCTGGCCTTGAATGCGAGCCCTCCACGACTGACTTCGAACCGAACACCGATACCCATCCATCGTCATCGTCATCGCCATCATCACCCATCACAGAACTCCGCATGTTCTTCATGCTTGGCTCCGATCTCAACGGGTACCCGGGCATTCTCCACGGCGGCATCGCCGCCACCCTGCTGGATGAATGTACCGGATTGTTACTGGCGCTGAACGGACAGGTCGGGGATGCGGTGACGCGGCAGGAACCCGGGTCGAGACCGGGTCCTGTGACGGCGTACTTGAATACGAGGTTTCTGCGTCCGGTGCCGACGCCCGGTGTGGTCATGGTGCAGGCGAGGATGGTGGAGGGGGAGGGGGATCGGAAGTGGAGGATCGAGGGGCGTCTTGTGGATGGGGAAGGGTTGGCTTTGGTGGAGGCGGAGGCCTTGTATGTGAGGCCGAGGTCGAGGATTTGACAGGGTCGCGAGGGGTTCAGTCTAATCGAGCAGGATCCAGGTTGCGGTGGTTGGGAGGGGTATGACGATGGAGTTGAGGGTATAGTCGTGTGGTTGTAGTTGTGCTGTGCTGGGTAGGTGGACATGTATATAGAGAGTAGATGTCCTTCCTTTATTGTAGTGTATTTGAGGATTGACCTATGTTTTCGTGAAGTTGCTTGCCTTTTGCTATGAATTACAGCAAGTGGGGATCGATTTTCGCCCTTTGCAGTGATCATCACTGAGTATATATGTATAAGTCTATGGAAGGCAAGCAAGTAAGATGGAACAACTGAACTTAGATTGAAAGAAAGACAGAGAATGTGAGAGGAGATAAGGAAAAGGGAGTCCCAAAAAAAGAACCAAGCAAAAAGAATGAGACGTCAGCTACAGGGTTCGAACCTGTGCATCCGAAGATACTAGATGCCCAAACATGGTACCCGAAGCGGGTTTCGTTCAAGTCTAGCGCCTTAGACCACTCGGCCAAACTGACGTTCATGTCTGGTTCAGCGAAGCCAGGATATATGACTCAATCAGGCAAGTACTGACCTTGGTAGTCTGACTGTGTCATCTCTCTAGTCCGTATCGCATCCCTCGTGTCCGGATTGGATATGCAATGACGAATTGCATCACTTACTTTCGGTCGGGATTTTATCTCTTTTCTACTTGGTAACCCTGTGATTAACCCACTAACTCTGTTCATCTGAGGGACGTAGTAGATATCTCTCAAATCCTTTCAAGTTTTCATCCCTTCAAACTAGTGGCCGGCTAGTCCTGCATACCTTACCTGGGGGATGTTCTGCTGCCAGCGTTGTCGAGAATATATATACTCCGTGCACGAGAAAGCGATCCATGTCACGGGATCAAGCACGTTCCAACCGTCACCCGTCCACGACTGGAGCTAGAGGACTTTCCTGCTTCCACCTCCTGCGATGCTCCAGCCCTTTAAGTTAGCAGGTCATATTTAAAAATATAAATACATCCATATTGGCATATACCCAATCATCACCCGGTAGCCTCGGAAAAGGAAGCTCGAGCACGCTCAACGCCATTGCGGTCCTCAGTGAGAGTCCACGGTCTACCTACACACCCTCATCACGGCAGGTGTGCGCTGATGCCCTAAATACACTTGGGCGGAACACGCGTCTACTGCATCAATGGGTTTCATCTGCTCAAAGCTCGAAAAATGGCAATTTGGTCCCCATCACACACCGAACCCTCGCAAGTCTGCCCATTAGCGAGACGTGCATTCAAAGGGTACACATCTGCATCGCAGAGAATCGGCCCTCATGCCAGAGGCTCATGAAATTTTGCCTCGTCGTCCACGTACTGCCGGTGAAAGACAACGTTTGAGTCCCCGCCCGAGATGCGAAGACATCGCCGGTACGGAATTGACGTCGTCCCGATCAAGCCATGAAATTTGCACGGGAGAGATATTTCTCTTTGCCTCGACCCGTGGATGAGTAGTCTTCCACTACACTCCTGTCGAGATCTGACTTTACAAACCTTGTGCCCAACGAGAGCATCGAGCAGCGGCGCTTACTGAATCAAGGATGGATACACCATCTCATGCAAAGGTAGCGATGACAAAATTGCAATTTACGTGCATTTTTCCAAACTTGGTTGCTCTGTCAACCCCCTAAAGTCACACTATAGGTAAGAATTTCTCCGGAACCCTCAAATTTGACGAAAGAGGACCGTATACTCAGATACTACTGTACTTCCACCCACCCAACACGAGACCCCGAAGAACAGGAGCAATTATCTAGCCTCGGAGTGTCCTACCAAGGCAGAGATTGATCATCAATATATCAATAGACAGACGAGTGTCAACACAAGCAGAGCCATTCCAGCTGTATCTGCAACGACTGGAGGACGCGCTAGCCAATTCTTCAACGGCGCCTATTTTTGGAACTACTCGGCTTTGCCCGAGGCTGTTCCGATCGGCAATCACTTGTCCCACCGGTGGCAGTTTGATGTGCGTGGACCTGCGAACTTGGCGTGAATCTCAATATCTTTAGCTACGAATGGCAAATCCAAGTTTCGACTCGGTCTTGTTCCCCAGGCCAGAGGGACATCGACACCCAGTACTCCATGAAGCATGAACACTGAACAGTAGCAAAGCACTCGGCAGTCCAATCAAGATAATCATCCGAGAAGCATCTGGGCCTTCAATGCGGAGACTGCGGAGAACCCGAGGCTGCAACATAGACAAGCGGTCAAGAAGCAAGAATACGCGGAAGCAAACCATAACGGTCTCAACAACACACCTCCCTGTCAACACAGACTCTTCCAGGCTCTTGATGAAGCAAGTCGATCATCAACACAACGAGTCATATCCTGCCCACGGATCACTCACCGAGCGAATTGACCATCGAGCACTATGCCCGTGAAGCTCTCAACTTCATCTTTGGCAGCTCGGGGTCAGCGGAAGAGCAGTTCCGGGCTCGATCCGACCCAGGACTCCACTCGTGGCGGCATAGCCGCAGTCTGAATGGCTCAAATGCCACTTCATGTACAAGCGCACAAAAATTGCTACAACAGCATTCCCCCTTTTGATATGCAGCGAGTGAGTCCTCCCTCGGACTTTGCTGAAGCGAAATTCTGTCCATGTCTTCCATCAACAAAGGCTTCGAACGCATTCCCAGTTGCAACCTTGCAAGTCACGCAGCCTATCGCTGTATACAGACAGTGTGACAGGAGTGGAGCATACTATCTCCGAGAATGGCTGCAGATCTGATCTACGATATCCGGGATCTACCCGATAGCTCGCAGGCTTCCCGGGGGCAGAAATATCGCGCTCACTTGTACCATGTCGCCCGTTTGGCGATCTGGACGAGCAATGTTTACTTGACTATCCGAGGCCTGGCAGTCCTACTGGGCCCGCATCAATGGCAGACATGGATGATGTTTCTGGTCGAGGCGATCTTTATTCGTGAGTTCAAACACTGGCCTGGCCTGGACGGTCCAATAGACCACTAATCATACAGAACCGCAGATCTCTCTCGCAAGGATCAAAATCTGGTGATTGCAGCCTTCCGTGTCAATCGAGAAGGACGGCGAAGACGACTACGCCTCCAGGGGAACGAAGCTCTGCCCCGAGTGGACGTGCTTCTACCTTGCTGTGGCGAGGATGTGGATGTCATCATGGCTACGGTCCGCGCCGCCTGCGCATTGGACTATCCGAGCTCGTGTTTCCGCGTCTTGGTCCTAGACGACGGAGGCTCAGCTACTTTGAAGGAAGCTGTGTCGCAAGTTCAAACGGAATGGAGCCATGTCTCATACCATTCACGAGGCCGGCAGTCGGGTATGGTCTTTGCTAAATCAGGGAATCTGAATTATGCGTTGACCGAACTGCAGAGACGGTCACCGCCGGAGTTTTGCGCCGTCCTTGATGCGGACTCTGTGCCAACGCCGGACTTCCTCCGCGCAACTCTGCCTCATCTGCTGCAATGTGATGAGGCGGCGTTGATCTCCACACGCCAGTATTTCTCCAATCTGCCTACCGGCGACCCGCTCTCTCAGACGAGAAGCCACTTCTACACCTGCCAGAACGCCGCATTAGATATGCTGGGCCGGGCTATTGATGCAGGTTCCGGAGCGGTGTTTCGCCGGAGCGCTGTTGTGCATGTGGGACTCTACCCGACATTCTCATTCTCGGAAGACTGGCAACTATCACAAATATTGCATGGCATGGGCTGGCGGACCTTCCAGGTGCAGGAGCCTCTGCAGTTCGGCTTGATCCCCGATTCTCTAACAGGCCACTGTGCTCAACGGAGTCGTTGGAATATCGGACACGCCCAGCAGATGCCTGCCATGCTCTCACCCGAGTATAAGCACTATCCAACCTCCCTTCGGTGGAGCATTGCTCTGAACGGATTGGGAATCATTGCTGGGGAGATTCTGTGTTTTTTGGGCTTCCTGGCGGTGCCGTTGCTCTTCGTCTCTAGGGACTTGGTTCCGAGGAATTACCCCAGTCTAGCGCGGACTCAGATAGTCATGTCGGCGTTTCAAGTCCTGATGATGTGGGTGTTTGAATATCTGCAGGCTGCACAAAACAATTTCCAAAGTGCCCCTTTTGCGCATTTGGAAAACAAATGGCTCGCTGGATGTAAGTCTCTCATACCCCCTCGTTGTCAAAGATTCGACTCGACTCCATTTTGAACTTCTCGATTTTAACCGAATATCAGCGACCATCCTTGCCGTCCTCAAATTCTATCTTGTATCTGCGAAACCCAAGGGATCTTCCTTTGTCACAGGAAGTGTCCTCAATTCATGGAACCGGCGTGCTTCCTCCGCGTGGAAGAAGATGCAAGTCGATCTCTGGAAGAATGGCGTCTGGTATAACATCTGTCTGTTATCAGTTACCATCTGGACCGTCTTGACAGCCATCAGACCCATCCTATCAGGGATCGGTGACATCAGCCCGATGAAATTGTTGACAAGTATCGCGTTTCCGCCCCTGCTTCATGTGTGCTACCTGACTTTGGCTGTCAACTGGGTCCCGGTGGCATATGTGTTCAATCCCCCTCGTTACCCCGTCGACGAAGCGGCAGTGAGCGAGAAGAGCGAGAAAGCCGCTCCACACCCACACGAAGCAGCTAAAGATGAAATATCCTCAGACGTCAAATGGCCCATGGCGGAAAAAATTGGCAAGGAGATTTTGCAGCTGGGCACCCGATTGGAAATCCAAGAGCAACCCAAGCTTTGACGAGAGCGACTCAAAGTCTGAGAAAGCTAGCGTTCAGAAATGACAAGACCAAATCGAAGGCGTAGACTATCGATGCTCTCCTGCCAAGTCCGTAGTGGTTCAAATGCTTCCTTCCGTCTTCTCTTCACCCATCAGCCGTCCATATTCCCACCTGCCTCCAACCCATAGAACAAATTGTCCTTCAGCCACCAGTCCTCCGAGAACAGCGCATCCAGCAAGACATTGCTTTGCGCAATCTGAGTGAAATCCCCTTCCTCGGCCACATTCGCACTCGCTCGAAGAGCTTCCGTCGTAGCCGGCAGATTCGGCAACGACCAAGACTTGAACTTTGCGAAAATATCCCTCGCGCGTTCCAGCGATCCACCAGCACACTGATCGCCCACTTCGGCCATAGCTTGCTCGATATTCCGAATCACTTGGTCGATCACTTGAAGTACGTCGATGTTGGTACGGACCAGGTTCAGGTCCCAGACTGGATCGTTGAGAGTGGAGAGCTTGTAGAGCACTATGATGTACCGGACGATTTGGGTGAAGACGGGACACGAGATGCCGGGGTAATCTGAGACGGGGATGGCGAGGAAGTTGTTCGTTGCGGCTTGGACGGTATTGAGACACGCGTAGAGGTATTCGAGGCGCTGGAATCTCGGTGGGGTTTTTCGAGAGAGGATGAGACCGAAAATGGATAGCTCGGTGTAGTATACTGTGGCGGAGAGGATACCTAAGATGAAGGACGGCCATAGCACGGTCGAAGTGAGCAATTGTACGTCTAGTCACGACGAGGA